TTATTCGCATAAGGTAAGTCAGAGTCTAACAAATCGGGTGCGCTAGTAGCCCCCTGTGATGTTTCTCTGGCAGTTGTTAAAACAGATTTACGGGACATTATAAAGTAGTAAAGAGCAGTAATAAAACATAGACTAAAAGTGCAATGTCCAAAAGTCACTAAGAACGATCAGATTAAAATGTCTATGTGACACGTGATAACAGAGAATAATACAAGCAAAATTCCTGTGTAACTAATCAATATACACAAAGTAATGTTTAGACAGCAGAATGACTAAAATTTTAACTGACTAAAAAACATATCGAGGTATATTATCAGCAGTTATAATAGCAAGACACTAAATATAGGCAGAGATTATAGATTTCAATCTTCACAATATGAAACAACTAAGTCCAGTAAAATTAATTAAATTACATAAAAAAATCATAAAATAAAGTGAAACAATGCTTAAGGAATATTATAAGACAGTTGAGAGATCAAGAAATATACTTAAAACGCTATTTTAATCAATACAAATGTCAAAAAACGAAAACCGAACACTTGTCAAGTGAGATTCGACAATAGTCTAATGACGAGAACTGGATCTCAACAAAAAGTTCAACTTCTCGACAATGTTAAAAATTTCGCGAAAAACAACTGCCAAAAGGACAAACCCTTTGGAGCAAATACATATGAAAATACAGTTAAGCCTATTTAAATACAGGGTGAAATTTAGCATAAGTGCATAAAAACATAGCTATTATATCCTATCTCGTTAAATATGAATACAAGATTATATTGAGTAATACAAAAAGATAGAACTTAAAATTTAACACATTTTGAACAAAACCCGGTATGAAAATCACTAAAATTTGAAGAGTTATGAATTTTTGAAAACAATTGTCTAGAAAATTTCAAGCAAAAAGTTAAGCCTACTTCGGTGCCACGTGTTTGGCCGGCGGGAACCTTCCGTAGGGAAGGTGGCGAGGTAAGTGAATAGAAGTCCGCTGAAATTGCAGCAGCCTATAATCCTTTGTTATTGCACTAAAACACTTATATCTCCGTAAAAAATGGTCACACATACATAAGCAAAGTATCCACGTATGCAGCAGATATTCATACACACTTTTAAAACCAACGGCGCACTTTCGGTGGCAGAATTTCCAATAGAAAATCTAGAAAAAACAGGAGCGAAACGACACACGTCCGATCTCTCAAACATATGGTCTGGAACTATCATTCGAAAATATAGTGCGACTGGCTTAAAGCACGAGTAATCTCCTATCCTGCACGTTTAACTGTTGTAATGGGTCCCTTGCAGTTGCTCTTTCTTTTGGCGAAGGTATCATGGGCTTGCGACTTTAATATCCGGCAAGTATAGCGGATTTCGAGTACCTTCTATTGCCATCGTGGCTTGAGATACAGCGCTCGCATTATGACGAAGCGCATTTTCATGGAGGATGATACTACACGCCACTAATAATTGTCATCGCTTTCTGTTAAGTGCTGGACGCACATGTTGTCAAGGAAGGCACATTTATTATCCTTCGTGACAATACGTAAGATCATTATGCGAGCGATATTAGATATCATGCAAATGTGACGATAGGAAAAATTGCCCTCATATTTACGCTCTATAAATCCATGCAAACGTAATCTTTTCACCAAAATGAAAGAACCAATGGCACCTGTAAATTCATTATGGAAGAGTGTGTCTGTGCTTCAGGGCGGTTGCTGTGGGGCATCAGCAGAAGTCACAAGTTGATGATGCTTTGTCCCTTTTAGTATTTTGGAAGAAGCTAGTAGACAAAACAGGCGATTATACGGAGGGACTGTACCTAACCTTTTTCAGAACTATCAACATGATGCCACTGCTTTGTAGCCAGCCCTTGTAATTTAGTTTTTGTCCTAACTCTTTTAATTTCATCTACAGAAGATGTAAACTAATTAACGCTAGGAACCTTCGTGTTAACTGTAGCAGATAAATAATTGAATTGATAAATTAAATTATATTAAATTTATCAATAATTTAATTGATCAATGATTGAACTGTAACAGACAAATATTTGAATTGTTGTGCATAGTTGAATTGATTTGTTCCGGTGAGTAGTAGCTGCAAGGACTGCTGTTCTTCACCCTCGCTGCCAGCTGATATTTATTAGACGTTTATGGGATGTTCGAATTAAGAGTGCTCATAGTTAAGTGGTAAATTTTCAATGATGATAGTTGGTTTATAGCTAGATGTAGTGTAGTTCAAGTCGCTCATTTCTAATTTGTTAAACTAGGACACTTATATATATATTTGATCTTTAAGTAGCAGTTTCTGCATCGTGATAATAAAATTTTATTTCGGTTATTTGTAAGATTATTTATAGATTAGATATCAAATGACTAATTGCTAACACACCCTTACTTCAGTAGGTTGTTAGATAGAATATTTAGCAGCTGTTTAAGTTAAGGGCTAGCTAGTGATTGTCATCCATGGTAGCCTGATTCCATCCATGATCATTCATTGTCATCCATGATAGCCATGGTAGCTTGATCCATGATTCCCATCCATGGTAGTGCATTAAGCTATAATGAGCTAAATCAAGTTACCATCTTCCAAGATTCGTGATTGTCACCCATTTTAGCATTTTAGTGCATATTACTATAAATAATTGACACCAAATGAAGTTACCATTTCCGTAATAGTTGTTTTCATGATTGTTCTTCATTGCAGTGTACCCTTTGCTGCAACGAATAGTTACTGTCTTTTCACGATTACATCTTTTACAAACAATTTATCCGAATCTTCTTGTGTCGTTGTGGAAAAGTTTTCCTTTTTTATCCATCTTTGTCTTAAAAGCATTTGGCCATTTTTGAACAACAAAAGGAAAACATCGTGTACTAGAGGTACCAAATTTAAGAATGAGGTTCAAATTCTGCGTTCACCATTATTTGTATATTAGTTCTTTTTAAATAATACCTTCTTTAAAAAGGTGATAAACTCTTGAATAGCAGCTTCTGTTGATGTGCTAGTTGAACATTTTTCTTTCCTCAAACAGAACAAACAGCTTAAGAGGCGGAAAAAAAAAAGTATTTCTGAAGCATTGAATTGAATGTCAATAATTAGGCTGAAGTAAGAACAAACACGAAATGCATCTTACGTTTTGCCTCTAGTGAAGGAAAAAAAATCATTGAGTTGATTGAAAGTGTCAGTCCTTATACATTATATTCATTTCTATGTTATTGACAAGGTAAACAGCATTAGAAAGCGTAGGAAATGGAAGCAGATATAGATGGGAAAAACGATATATTGATGAGGGATTCATTAGTTGTTGTTGCTTCTTTTTTTTTTTTTTTTTTTTTGGCTCAGCGGGTTTGTTGGCGTAAGTAAAGTGGATTTTTCTTTATATGGCGTGGCTTTATTTGTAAACATCAAAATCTTTCTGAGGATGTGACTCGAAATGTACTTGGAGAGAGAGCTGGGGAGTTGGTTGAGATCGCAAACGCTGATCCAAAGTTGAATGAACTCATTGTTATTAAACATTGTTAACACTCTTAAAGCGCATTTCTTGAAACATTATTCAATTCTGATGTTTCAATATTTGATACTGCTATTATGTTATCATTTGAGATTGCATCTTGAGTGAATGCACTTCAGAGGAAGGGAAGTTATCTTTTCACCAGCTACACATTGCTGAAACAATTCAAGAGCTTTATGGCCGTTTATAAAATCAAAGCAGAATTTTCTTGAATCAAGACGTTGTTTTCCACAACGTCTTGGTACATAGAATCCCGATCCCTCTTCATTTTAGCAGAATATGTTTTCAGTTATTTGTAGCATATTTTTTGGGTTTTGAAGGGAACGGACTCCGTACCTATCTCTTTCAAAATGCTGACAATATTTCAATGAAACAATTTCATTCTAACCCTGAATTTCGCTTAAATTTGAATTTCTTACAGGTATATTCTTTTTTCAAGCATATTTCTCACGTGATTTGATAAAAAAAAAACTTTATTATGTAAAATCTTAAGCAGGAAATAGATCCTATTTAAGGTACTCAGAAATCTTATCCCATATTTCTTCGCGTATTTTTGCCCCTAGTATTTTAGCGCTAGATTCTGAAAATTTAAATATTCTAATAATTTCCCCCTTCCTCTGCTGTGTTTGTTGCCCTTGAGGATAGTTTTTTCCCCTTGAGGGCTAATTTATTGGTAAACTGTATTTCCTTGATTATTTTTATCTTTATTCAGTTTGCATTTGCAGTTTTGTATTAGCATTTCATCCATTTTATTTTCCCATGCATTTATTTTTTGAAATATATTTGATGAAAATTCTTCTTTAAACTACCCGAGCGTCGCAGGTGTCCTCACTTTTCAGAAACTTTCGAAAGATATGATTTCACCTTACTTCTTTTCCTTCCTGCTGGTGTGTTCAATCTTTCGAAAGCCTGATTTTTTATTTGCCCCCCCCTTCTTCTTCGCTTCTGTGATATCCCTTTTGGAAACTGCGGTCAAGACTTATTTATGTGAGGTTCTCCTTGGGCTTTACAATGTATTCAGTGTCCATCAGATATTCTAATGTTAATATTACTGTGTATTCTTATTAGAATGTTGTTTCTTTAAAAAAATTAATTTGTGATAGTAGCGGTAGTTTATGCATGACTACTTTTCATTTGTTATGCTCTCACTGCGTTCTTCGGAAATGAAATTACTTGCATAATTTTCCCTTCTCAATTTTTTCACGATAAAATTAGATAAAAAAAGGAGGGAAAAATACGCAAGGAAATCCGGTATATTTTATTACACTTTTGGTTACTCGGAAGGAAATAAAAATAGTTTGTGGAAGAAATTCTGAAAGATAACAAAAAATTCACGATTTATATATCTGATATTTGCTAAAAATTTTAATCTGTATTAGGCGTCTGTCCTCCGATCCTCTGTCTCCTCCTTGGTTTCATTTTCTCTAGCCAACTAGCCAACTCTCTACTAAATTCTGTCGATGAACTAACAAAAATATTACATATATATATGCACACTTGAAACTTAATGATGTTATTACTTCTAACAACACTTGATTATAGGAGAAATTTCTCCCAGTAACGAACTTCTCTTTCTCCTAGCTTTTGAAGGTTTTTAGCCGAAACAGTTTCTCTGAAACCGATGTCCCGGCTAAGTTACGCCGGCCATAATTGTAAGTATAACCAAAATACAAACAAATGATGATTTAGGTATATGAGTTTTACTAAATCTCCACTCAAAAAATTACTTAGGTTGGGTTAATTGAGTTAAAATAAGTTACGTTATTATTGCGGAACCCGTGGGCAATAAGGAAATTTTACTGACTTCAAAATGGGCGTTAGGTATGCAAAGGTTGACTATCCCTCATCTAAAGGAAACGGGAGTGGGCAGCATTACTCTGTTTTCAGAGCTTCAGATTTTGTAAAGTACACTTACTTGGTAAAAGCTAAGATTTGTTGCTGGTATGTTTAATCCGATATATTACATTATTCTAAGCTTTCCTGCAAACTCTGCTGTAAGCTATACTATTCCCTACTGAAAGCGGAAGGACTTCAAGAACAGAAGACTTTTCCTTATCGAATTGCCAAGTGAAGCAGACAGACGGTCACCGCCGTATTGTCGTCACTTTATACGCTTCATCCGTGCCTTGTTCTTTTCCGAACCCTACGTAAATGCAGCTCCAATATCGTGCATACATTATTCATAACGCCCGAGCATAAAAAGAGGAATGGGGGATAGAAAACTGTCGGGTGGGGGAGAAGCAGGCACACAGAACATTCAATTCCATCGGTCGGAGGATGGCTGCAGATTATCGCCTGTCATTTAATTCCACTAATTGAAGTAGTCGCTGTGGTATGACGTCACAGTTTTTATCCGCGGATAGTGTCTCTCGGGTGTTCATTCTGTGCCGCTGGGCGTATGCCCGGTTTGCTGATGTGATCACTTGTCATGAGGAAGACCCGTTTGGGGGGGGATGCGCAGTCCGGATGTTCCAAGTCCGGTTGTGGAATCGAGAAACTATCGGCCAATTTCCGAGATGCCTCGTTAGAAATGGGTGGACTATCTGGATATTCCTATTTACTTTTTAATGCTGGGCGTCGTGTTATTTGTTGCAAACCATCCACTGTATTGTTTGCTTCCCTAATGTTCCCTCCCTCGTTTCCCTAATACTTTCTTTAATTTTTCTATCCATCTTTGCACATTTGTCGGTACTCTGCATCGAAACAAGACTCTCACATACTTGAAGACTTAAAATTTGACCATTTTCTTTAATGAAAACTTTAATATTTTTGCGGGTCTGTGCTTGAAGAGGCAAAAAATCAATGAAGGTGTGAACTTTTCAGTGTGCATTGGTCAGTACAAAACAGTTATTGGTGCGGCTAGCCGTATTTTTTGTATCAGAAAAAATATCCCATAAAATGAAGCTTCCCCAGGATTTGTGAAAAGTATGAGTGAAACATCGTATTTTTTTTGCAAACCTCAAATTACTTCCAAAATTCTCGCTTTCTTCCTCAGGCTGAGGATTTAAAATTTTTAATTAATAAATTTTGGTAATTCTGTTGGCTATCATAAATTGTGACCCAACTTTAGATAGACTGACAGTGAATTGTCGGTAAGTCCAAAATAACAATTGAAACTTGAGAAGGGTGTAAAAGATCCTTTTAATTTAAACTAAAAAGACTGCGACGTTTTCTCTTTGTTTTTTTTTTTTTTTTTTTTTTTCTCCTCCTACGATGTTTTGTACCACGACGTTTTCGCCTTGCGTTGTTTTCTCCGCGACGTTTTCGTCGGCGATGTTTTTGGCGGACACCGAACAGAAGGCCCACCTGGTGATTACAGCTCAGCCAGTACTTACGCCGAGGTAACGTAAATGAATAATCAAAATGCAAATTTTACACAGTTCAATTTAACGCGAATTGCCTCACAAATCTGACCGGCGTAGATATTCAGATATCAGCAAATAGCATAAGGCCGAAGACTACAAATCTTATCTGAGCTAGTAAGCAACTTAGTAACGTGCCTCGAGAGGCAAGAATACCCTAGTAATACAATATAAAAACCTCAGTTTAAATACACACGAGGAGATTTGCATTCTGGCGTGGTAACAAAAACAGAGGAACTGACACTAAAGGTCTGAATCGTAATAATTGGTTAATTAACATAAAGAACTTCACAAACTGAAGATTATAAATTTGGCAAAGGCTTTTTCGAATAGAAAACAAAAATTAAAAAAAAAAAAAAAAAAAAAAAAAAAAGAAAGAAGGAAGGAAAGAAAAAGAAAAAAAAACAATCGGACGGTTAAGTTAACAAAAATGTTCCAAAGACCAGTACTGCTATTCGGTGTTTAAAAAAAAGTTAATGAAATCAAAGACATGTGCATTGTCTAGCCGGTGCTCTGAGTCATTCATTTCGTAAACACTGGTTGAAGATTGAAGAGAGATATCTATAATTGGTAATTCTTTTACTGTTTTGGCTTAGAATTCTAGATACACTATGGATGCGTACAATAAATCAGGTATAATCTTTTCTGGTATACCCCATAATTCCTTAAAAGGACTCATACACCTTAAAATCCTCAAGATCTCCGAATATGTTACTGTTGCAAGAATTGGGATAACTTATTTTTTTTAAAAGCAATTATTTTCAACTTTTTACAGCTGATTACATAATATAGTTGCTTTCTGAACTATTAACCAGAAAGTTTGCGTTGCCACAAATATTTTTATAATTTAATCTTCTTTGTGGCAAAAATTTTTATGCGTTCATGTCATGTTTCCACCTTGCGCGCACAGTTTAAATCATTCTGTTGCATAATTTAATTCCATATTTAATATCTTGATTTTAAAACATTTGAAAACTACTGTGAACCAAAAATTCTGAGAATTCCATGTTACATTTTTATTTTATTTGCAGTTGAGTTTATAAAATGTATTTTATTAAAAAAAGTCTGTAATGTTTTCATTACAGATATACATAAATTATACCGTACCCCTAGATAGGTCGAAATGCAGAAAATAGCCTTGTGCTGTGCCCTTGTTCTCCAAGTTTTCAGACCTGACAACTTATTCAATGACAAAAGCTTCGACAGTGAATTGTTGCACCGTTGCATTCCATGACTGCTAGGCAGCTGAAACGCTTGTAATAGAAAACTAAGTATTGTTTCGATGTCCGTTGACTTATGAAAAATGAATAATACGGACTTATGAAAGAAATTATGTGGACTAATTCAGAAGTCAAACAACAAAAATCAGCGTTATACCTACAAAATTTTCACAGGACTAGTTTCGATGGTTTTACCGAACCATCATCTTCAGCTGCAAAACCGCAAAACTTGCGGTTTTGCAGCTGGTTTTACCGAACCGCAAGTTTTGCGGTTTTGCAGCTGGTTTTACCGAACCGCAAGTTTTGCGGTTTTGCAGCTGAAGATGATGGTTCGGTAAAACCATCGAAACTAGTCCTGTGAAAATTTTGTAGGTATAACGCTGAGTTTTGTTGTTTGACTTCTGAATTAGTATTTATTCGGCGTGTTATTGTGTCTAAATTATGTGGACTTCGGGAAAGCGTACTTATGACTGATGTAACAGACTTTCATTTTTATTTTATGAGATGATATGTTTTGATATTGCAAGAAAGGACAACATTGTTAAGTAAGCAAAACCTGTTCATTCTTTTTGAAACACCCCATAATCATTTAATGTATAATTTAGTAACATATTCTATGATTAACTAGATTTCTTTCTTATTTACCCAGAAATGAACTATTTTTCCGAAGTCTTCTTTTCTGCAACATTAGGATGTGAATTCTTAATTTGTTGTGTTTAGATGTAGTACTTTAAAAGATAGATGCCCATTAACCCAGATTTCTTCTAGGTTTGCTCACTTTTGACTTGGACAGAATTCCAACACCACTTAGTTAATGACTTCATTTTATGATTTGAAGGAAGCTGAATCATCATGCGGTTTTAGTTTACTTCATCCGACTGCGCATGGGCAAATATTCACGTTTGATTTGTACTGTAACCTTCCGTTATTACAGCTGTTTCTGAAATTTTTTTTATATGTGTATATTTATATATAATCTACATCACTTTACTTGCCATTCACAAGTTTTACGCTACTTTCAAAAAAGATAATTTCTTAAGCTTTAAATTCAATATCCAACATACATTGGGAAGGATAACATCACGATTTTATGTAGCTGTTTGTAATTTAAACGATCGGTTTGTGATCCTTAATAACCTCATCTGAAATACGTAAAAAATTAAGTAATGTAAATATCATTTTTTTTCACATTACTTCAGAAAGGTCAGTATGATTTGATTAATGCTGCCCTATATTTTGCTGTGATTATTACTTTTAAAATTCGTTTCTAGATTTAGATCATATTATTCTCTGTTGTTTACACTTATCGAATGCTCTCAGCATTGAATAGAATGGTGTATTAAAAGTTAATATCTTTCATAAGCTGAATAAAAGTGAAATACTATCAATGGCTTATTTTTTTGCTGTCAATTTAGTCCTAGAATTTCTTGGTTTATAAAAAAGTGTGCCTATTTACACATTATATTGTGATTCATTCTGTTTTTGACTAACTGTAAGTTTTTCCTTTAACTCAAACCGATTTTATTTACTTCTATTTTACTTCAATTTTATAACTATCTAAACAGAATGTTAATGAACAGGACCACGATTATCTCCGTGTTTTTTAATTGTCTTCATTGGGCTAAGTGTACGTGAGTATATATATATACATTCACAAACTCCTTTTAGTCGTTGCGTTAGTCGAAACCATTAGTCATTTTTGCACTTTAGTATAATGGACACTGCAAAACTTACAGATCTCTTTGTATTATTTTTTGCTTGCTTTGCTTAGCTCGTGGTCGTGTAAAACATAGACTACCACTCGAATGATGTCTCTAATTAGAAATCAACGTCACAAAATCCGATACTCCCTGACTTGCGGATATCGTGTTCTAGTTTCCCCACCGCACCAGAAGTCACCCATACCCTGTTGCTGGATAACGTATTTGTCAAAGCGCGTCCCCCAGGTGCTGTAAAAACCTGTCTCCAGAGCTGGAGTGTCCAGCAATTCTCGAGGGAAATCAGGGAAATGGAATCTCCGGCAACTAGCTGACCCACATCTCCGCAGCACGACGGCCACTCCACGTCTCT